TTGGCTCGCTACAGCCTCAAAGATCCAAGCTCTAAACTTTAACGAAGATTTAATAGCTGCAAAAATGCCGTGCTCGGTGTAAAAGTTAAATCGGCCGCGTCTAGAGAGCATTAGGCTGTCCGTCGCTCAGATCTTTTATAACCCCGTCGAAATTCAATTTATCGCCCGCGGGAGTGAGCTCAGCTGACGTGCCTTTTGTGCGAAATTCCAGCATCTTCGCTCGCAGCTCGTAAACAAATTACCGCAATGATAAATAAATTGAATAATCGTGAAAGGCGCATGCTCGGAGGCTCGTTACGCCGCTCGTCGATGCTACTCCTGCTGCTGCCGCTCTTCCTATAAAATAGCCGGCCATTTCCACGAGAAAAATGAGATATCTTTGGGATAATCGCTCGAAAACGAGCCATTCTCGCATTTCGGCCAAAACTTTCTCGCCTTCGTTTTCCATCCTGAATATGTTGTTGTTTTTTCTCTCTCAAATTCCCTAATTGCATCCTTATTTACAACGCTTTGCTGGTTGCAGAACTCGGGAGTCTGGTTTTGCGCACGAATGCGGGCACTGGATGCACACGCACATTCGAGCTGAGTCTCGGTGCCATTTACTCGATCTATTTTACGATATTTGCCAACTTATTTCTTGGGTGAGTTATAAAAGCTTTCCCGTGCTGGCGTTTTCAAAAGCCAAGCTTGCATTATTCCTAGCTTCTGAATGGAAACTAGGTCGATTTAATGGAAAATGGAGTAAGCCAAACGGAAAGAAAAGAGGATTTATTTTCCAGAGATTAGAGAGAGAGATTCAATCATAATAGACCAGCGCGAGAAGCGTTTTGGAATAAAATCGTAATATTCGCTGGCGATGAAAAGTCGACAAAAACAAAATAATACATCTCAGTGAGATGTGTCAATGTCCTCTATAGTTGCGGGAACTGTAATATTTTTGATATATTTTAGAGACTTGATATCTGACTCGACAAACAAATTACCCTCGTATAGTTTACGAAAGTTATTTCACCGAAGAAAGCAAGTTTCCTCGTTTAGATTTTCCCAAAGGAGTGCATGCACGATGGATTTCAAATCCAAATTGAGACAGATGAATCGAAACATCTTTGCTGCATGCTCGATTTTAATTATTTCTTCGATGCAAATCAGATTGGCCTCGTTCGCCATGCAGCTGCCTGGAATATCGTACGCAAACTCACTAAAATAATTAGCAGTCCCCAGAAGGGCGAAAATCGATAAAATATTCGGTTTTAATTTTCCTATGCTATTTCCGACAACAGGGAATTGAATTGATAGAAGTAAAATAATGTGGAGTACGTCATCAATACACTTGGCCAAATGCGTTGGCATACAAGTAGGCCAAACAACATATGGTGGCTCATTCGCGCAGCGTCCTTTATGTTTATTCACATAAATGGCAAATGCAAAGAGAGAGAGAGAGACAGAAAAGAGATGGAGAGGGAGAGAGTGAGAAAGCAAAGAAAAGCAAGTATCAACCCCTCGTAGAAAAACATCACATCCATTACTCAATGCGAGTACGAAGAGACGATATAGACAGGGAAAAAGCGAAGGTTCGATAAACGAGATTCGCAACTTCCGGGCTTCATCAATCTCTCGGCGACCGATGCCCATCAGCTTCGTCATTTCCTTGGCTAGCCTGGTTCTCCTGCTCTGTCTCTTTCATATTCCATGTCTTTGCATACTCACAGATGTGCGTTTTCTCTCTCTCTTTCTCTCTCTTTTTGTCGATCAATTTTGCTTCGTGAATACATACATCGACTCTCAATTTGAATTTACAGATGATAAGATAATGGCGCGTCACAGACGATGTGATTTTTAAAAAAGAGACGAGTTTTTGTAGTTGCAAACTTGCAACGTTATAAATCAACTTTGAGTCTTGGTATTTGTCTGGATCATTTTCATACTTATAATTCATCTCCGTCGAAGCCTGTTTACAAAATAATTAACACCGATTCGACATGAATAGTGTATATATTGGAAAAAACGATATCAATTAAGTCGCTACATTCATCATAAAGCATTGCAAACTAAAAAAGTTGTATATTTTCCAGAAGCCCAATAATGACGATGACGTTAGTTTAAAATGTTTAAGTACTGTAGATTATGTTGAAAAAAGTTGATAAAGTTGTCGAAGCTTCGAAAGCTCGCAACAACACATGGGCCATTAAATATAGAGAAAAAATTGCGGTCACAGAGGAGGGGCTCGATGGCGAAGGCCCAATACACGATCGACGACGCTGCACCAGTGGTCGATAAACCAGAAACCCGTCAGTCTGCAGTCGCAGTTTGCTCGGCCAGTAGCTCGACGACGCGCGCGTCCCACATGCAGTCGTCTCTCAGCCGCATGCACCGCTCGATACGAATGTTTGTTTGGATTCGATCGAGCGCCGCAGAGCTATTGTATCGGATCTGTAGCAATTAGCCTCGAGGCAGGCATGAAACGCGGCATGCGTCGGTCGCTGCGCAAAGCTATAGCGAGCCGCGCCGCAGCCGACCTGCACGACAGCAGAATGGATTTTTGCCAAGGCCCCGCGAGCTCGCGCGCATCGATGACTTTTTTTATTTCTTATGTAACACCATGTTGACGCGGTTATAACAGTCGAGCGGCTGTACACTGCCAAAGGTCTTTCGAGAGCGGTGCGCGTCTCCGTAGCTCGCGTTCGTTTTCCCCGCGGTCCAAGCTCCGGACCGAGAGCTTTTGGATTCGGGCGTAAAAAGCGAACGATCCTGCTGCGTCTGCGACTCGGTGCGAAGCAGATGCGACGCCGCGCGCGAGGAATTACATAAGCCGCTGCGTATACGGGTGTGCTGTTTGCGCGCGAATCACGGGACTCGGTCGCGCGAGCTCGAGAAAGAAAAGCTGCACACCCGACATATTGCGCGTCACACACATACCCACACAACACACATGTCGCATTGTGCGCTTACGAGCTGCCACATAGCTCTAGGTACAAAGCCGATAGGTATGTGCCAGCTACTAGCGCGGCAAGTGCCATTTTGGTATATAATTGACGCTTAACCTTGTCGACTCGCCGCATATTGTTTGTATCAGTGAGCGCACAAACGTTTTCTGCCTTTTTTTTACTTTTCGTCGTGAGGCGCATCGGCAAAAATTAAATACCACTGCTCTGGTCATAAAAAAACACCAGCGAATAATAGTTCTCATTACGCTACTTTTTTACCCTTTCACTTTGACAATTGTGATTTCTATCATTATTTTCTACATGGTGGCTTACCCTCTAGTCTGGCCAACACCTTTAGTTTAGTAAACTTTTGCTCTGCAGTCTTCAAATTAACTGCATAAAGCCTCACAATGTTTTTGCAAATTGATAAAAAAAATTGAATAAAATATGCGCTCTTACTTTAGATTTTTTTCGAGCCTCTAGCTGTGACACATTATTCAATCTCGTTATAATCCATAGTATTAATTGATGCAAATTAATATATTCACATCCAATCGATTACGTGCCATTGATTTGTATATTTTAATTTTTTTTCGATAGTTTTTATCTAAAACTTATAAATGAAAGGATTCTGAGATGTGAACAATTTTTTTCATGTATTCATGCAAATTCTCATGTATGGCTGATGTTATTCATCGACCTCAAACTAATTTTGAGGACCAACTGATTCTTGCAATATTTTATCGTGTAAAGAGCAAGATTTCATAATTTGAATGATCTTTGAATTCTCCTGGACGCAGGAAACAGAATCTCGACGTTCATATTAATCGCGGAGAATCGTCATTTTTGTTAAGAGCAGCTGAATTGGAGTATTTCAGGTTCGGCTAGGGTACGCATCGTCTGGACCTTGCAGGAAATCGAAATCCATGGACAAGAAGGTTGGCTCTACGCGATTCATAAATGGCGCAGGAAATTGAAGATAATTCATCTGGTATCGATCGGCGACAGGCCGAACGCGCAAGTCACGCGTCCATTCGTGTACACTCGCATACTATTCGCAATTTATTTGCAATCAATCGACAGTGTTTTATTAAATATCGGCGCGCTACATCGACGCTAAAGTGGGTCAATCGAGCTGCAGTTGCTCGATCACACCACTCGTCTTGGAGTAATTAACGAAGCTTCGCAGCATAGTTTTGTGCCTGTAAGAGCCGCGTGCCGATCGAGCTGGCACGTGCTAATTGATATTTGCTTGAAATAGAATAATGCAGTTCGACGCAATGACTGTTTTTTCTTGAGCTTAGGCGCTACCCGCTAGACCAGAGCAGAAGCTCCGGAAGTCCCGAGAGCTTTAGCGTCCAGTAAATTTCCTCGCGGTAATCGCGAAAAAGCCGATGCTCGAGCTACAGCGAAACGTCGCGTATAGGGCATCCAAGCCGGCACCGCATCGCACGATTTACGATATCCCCGCGCGCAACTTTTTGTTTCTCGAAAACAAGGAGCTTTCGAGGATGGTTGCGCTTGCAGCTTGTAATCTCAGCCGAATGGCCGCTCTCGACTTTTAGTCATAATAATAGTAATTTATCGCTCGAGCGTGTTTTTCTTTTTCAATTTTCCGTGCGAGCTCGTAATGAATGCGCAGCTCTTTTTCTGGTGCGCGCGCGCGCGCTCACAAACTTGTAACTGCGGCACGAAAATCCACGTAACACCATGTGCGGGAAGTGAAGAAGTAAAATTTCCGAACGATACTTCCTCGTTCGTTTCCTCTCATTATTTACATACACGGGTGTGCGTGTGACTGCGCTGCTCGTGTATACACGTATACATGTTTTCCAGTGGATTTTGCAGAAACTGCACTCGTGCGATATTGCGCAATTTTCGTCGCACTCGATAAAAGTCGATGGCGATACAAAAAGCATCGAGCAATACGTTACGCAGAGCGAGGCAAAACTCGACCATCGACGAGTTCCCTTGCAATTATGAGTAAAAATGAAAATAAACAAAGCGTACTCTCGCCAGAGCAGCTCTTTGTAATCATCGACTCGCTGTTTCACGAATCGATCCAAGCATGAAACATGTAAACAATATGATGATTTAATTGTAAGACTCGTAAAAGTTGCTTTCTGCCTCGAGTATATAATAAAGTGATTGAGTAGTAAGGTGTTGATCGCGTTTGTCCATCACTCGTTGCAATCAATTAAATTTTTCGCCAGGATCGGAGCGAGGATACCCTCCACTGTGCCTGCAACATATTTCGCTTTGTTACTACACATAGGTAATAAAATTTTTGTCACAGAAGGTATATAACTCATATCGAACGTTGAAAAATATTAGCTCGACAGTCCAGGAAGCTTTTGTGCGAGTAAAGAAATTTTCCTCCTGAAAAGTCGCGATGGAGTGGACGATTGATTTCACTTTTTCGTCTTAGGCTTATTTATATACGTACACGCACATATGCGCATACGCCCACTCGCAGCTCCGAGAGCTATAGACCGACGCGACGAGGCTTCGGCCACCCCAAATGCGGTATGCGTCGCGTCGCGCCGACTTTTGACTCATCGACGACGCAATTACCGAGTCTACTCACGCGCCCAGCCGCGTGTGCTCCTTGTGCCGAATCTCCCGTATATACCTGTGCGACGTTTCCCCGATGCGCAGCTCGCCTGACTTATGTAACAGCCCAGCGACACAAAAAGCTCCATCCATATTCCGACCAACATTCGTGTTTATCCTCGTCGCAATATATCATAGTAAGAAAAAAGTTAAAGAGGTACGGGCGATTAATGAAACGATTATTTTTCTGATTGCAGGTACGTAGCGATTGCTCGACACCGATTGTGAAAATGACATTACACTTTGCGTAAGTATACCGTTCGTACAGATACGTCTCGAGTCCCGAGTAATAATTTTTCTATTTCTCACGAGCCTCTAATAATCGTACGAGCGTATCAAATCGAAGTCCAAACACGCTCGTATCCTGTGTTTGTATAGAGGGCAGCTTTTTTTTACGTTCCTTTTTCTTTTAAAACCATCGAAAATTCGAGAAAAGATCCAAAAATAAACGCGGCGTGCCAGTCTTTTGGCAGACGCGATTAATATATAATGCAAGAATTAGCTGCCGAGCCGAGTAGATGTATACGAGGCAGCAGGGCGTTATCCGTGGCGTTAATTAAAATCGGAAATCAAGCTCGCTCGCGCGTGTTTTATCGCGCGCACTTGGCATGCACTTGGCAGAATGCGCGACGCAACGAATCAATAAACTTTCTATCGCCCGTGTACCCCACTGCGCGCTCCAGCCAGTGCGCAGCAGGAAATTGCAAAAATAAAAAGATATATAGATATGTACTGCGAAGTACAAGTAGCTGTGGGTGAAAAAAAGATAGAGAGAGAGAGAGAGAGAAGAAAGGCCCGAGTCGCAATTGAAATCTCAATTTCCTTCATAGCTAGAGGGCGTCTTTCGTTTTATCTACCTCGCTCCCTTGTGCGATTTTTCACTGTGTAAATGTGCGTGCGCGCGGCCCGAGGTGGCCTGGTGGCTCTGCCTTGGTCGACGCAGTCTCGCTGCTTCTTGCTCGCAGCCACATCTACATCCTTCTTTTTTTAGAATTATATGTTTATTTTCGCCGAACGAGCAAAAAATCTCCAACGTAGACTCCAACTTTTTTGTATAATTCACAAATGATATTTTGAGCTGAATGATGTATCAAGCGACCATGGATAACCGACAAATATTATTAGGGCTGAATTTTGTAAAATTGCTTCCAAGTCGAAAAAGACAATATGAGTCTTGTAGATAAGCGCCGCGCGTGCAACTCGTAAGAGCAGTTGTCTCGCTTTTATTCATTCATTTTTTTTTTTTGCAAAAATTTCTCGCACATGTCATTTTGTCACAATGCAATGTATCGATCGTATAAATTTTCGTGTTTATATAGGATAGAATACGACTTGGCGGTACACTGCTCGAGGCTCGTTTATTATTGTTTGATCGGAGGCGCATGTGTGCACGCAACGACGTAACGCAGACGAGTCGCGAGTCACGAGCTAAACGAGAGACGCACATATATATATAGGATACATAAACATATATAGATAGCTGGGGCATTACGTATTTAGGTGTATATATGTGCCGCCGAGAGTCGAGACCGCGGCAGCTAATGAATAGCTTGGCTTGGCTGCTCGGCTCGGACACGGGACGTGCGCGCGCGCGGGCCAACGAGACGAACGCGAGACGACCTATGGCACGTATGTATACAATAAAGTCGAGTCGCATCCAGGCATCGAGCTCCGCGACTCCCACCTCTCACTCGGGCTATTATCAGGCGTCTAATGGTTTCTCCTCTTTTTCCCGGCTCGTCAGCTTATTCACGCATAACGCGTATCGAGATATTATACGCTACGAGTGACGAAACGGCTCGCGACGCGTCAAACCAACGCGGGCAATCGGTAACTCGATGCTTCGCGTACGCAACTCGCTCAGTTTTGTCCGGAGAGCTTGAAAATATTCATCGGTATATCAAGGTTCGAGTCGTGTATACAGAGGAGTCGTGTCGCGTGCCGCTGATTGGAATTGAGCGAAGAAAATTTTGAAAAAGGCGCGTCTATGCTCGCCAGGGGTCTCGTTAAACATTTCGTGTACTCCACATAATATGCTAATGCATGAGCCACGAGCTTACATGTAACACAGCGAGCCAAGAGATACGTAGTACAGTCGGACAAGTGAGCAATAATAAGGATGGCGATGATGCTGTCACGCTTGGCGGGGGCCGCCTATGGATCGCCCCTCCTGACTCCTTTTCCGACTGCTCCGATATATTCGTCGCGCTGCTATACATACACACACAACATCGGTACAGAGCGTGGTCTGCTGACTGGCCTCCCACGCCCGGGGGGCCTACAATGCCATGAGCGCGCCGAGAGAGAGAGAGAGAGAGAGCGAGAGACCTCGGCGCGGTCTGCATCGCACGAGTAAGTAGTATCGCGCTCGAAAGCCGCGCGCGCAAACCACATCGTTTTCCGAGCCTGCATCCGAGTTCGTATACGCATTATTCGCGACTTGTTTTCGCCGACGCGCGTCACGACTCGGCGAGTTTTTCCATCGCGGCTCGTTGCAACAATAATCGTTCGATCGACTTATCGCGAGCCTCTCGCGGTGTTTTGCTGCACACTGACGCCGGTATAAGTCGACGATTATTCCAACTGATTATTAGCCGCGCTGCATGTATACCCGTAGGTGGCGGGCCGGTCGAGCCTAACTCCAAAAGTATCGCGCCTGCACGTGCTCGCAGAGAGCGGACGATACATCGACGGATCTTCTATATACACTTGAGACATCCGACGCCACGAGCATAGCCATTTGACGGAACTGCTTACAGCTCGATGCCGCCGTGGCCGCGTGTTTACTTGCGCACGCGGAACACGCTCTATTGCGCCTATTCTGCTTGAAATTCCAAATTTCCAAACTCCGAATTTCGAGTTTCAAATTTTCACTTTCGAACGCCGATGCAGTCCCACGAGTCGCTCTTTCACTACTCGAGTCTCTGATCGTGAGTCGTGATTTGTTACGTACGCACTTACTTCCACGCCTTTCTCGACGCTTCCAGTTCTCGAGAATTTTTTCAAATCGTTCAGTTTTAACGCGACTCCGCTCGGCTTCCGATCTCTATCTTCATCCTCTTCGCGCCAGTTAAAATTTCCCGATTTTGCCAACGAATCGACTAGTCAAGCACGTGATTTAGACCTATTATAATATCGAGCTCCGTCCGAACGAGTGCGAATCCGCTGCAATTGCCGAGTGTGTCGACGCGCTGCATCGAAGCTCTTCGTGTAGTGCATTAGCAACGCCTATCAAGAGTGCATGTGCTCCGAGAGCTCGCACGAGTGACGTAACTTAACCTCAACCCGCTTCGTTTGCTTGGCTAGCGCTTCTTGTCTAACTTGAATCTTGATTATCGTTTTTTGTCGTGCTGCACTTCGGTCAACTACGTACCGAGCAAAGCCACTCGATTCGTTTTGGCGCGTGTGACTGTGTACAAGTGTTTCTGTGTGTGCCTATGCGTCCTGCGCATCTCCCCCGACAATACCTGTCGTAGCTGTCAAATTTTTCTACGGAAGCGCCCCCCGCTCTTGGTGAAAATCGCTCTTACCGTGCCCTCTGTTAATGAGCAGCGAAGAAACGGCCCAGGGTCAGCAGGAAAAGTGAATTAGCTACACGGCATCGAGTTATTCCACGATCATGTTCAGAGCTTACGGAGCTGCGTCCTCGACTATCGGGGGCCCGGGCGATATCATGTCTGCCTGGACGCCATCGACCAACTACAAAGGTAAATATTCGGCGATTGCATCCGATTGTTTACCGTGACAGTCGACGCTCGTTTTGCGTTCGAAACTTTGAATTGCGCTGCTGCCTGAGTGCTGCAACGGAGCAGACGAGTGCTCCGATCGGATCGACAGAATAAACCAGTTTTGCTTCACGCATACATGCATATACGGCCCGCGTGACTATTTTCTGCATCGTGCTGCAGACCTTGTGCGCTATAAAGCCGCAGCGCTGCTTTTAATTGTTTTACATTTTTTACGTCGCACGCGCTCGCTTCGCGTTTCTCTCGCCATAATCATTTTGTTCTTCTGTTGTATATTTTTTCGGTTCTTCTCCGCGCTATTATAGCTCGTTTGACACGTGTAAAAGTGCGCTAAACCCTTGTCACGGACCCTTTTACCCTTTCACCTAATTCGATTGCGACGGCCAATCGAAAGCACAACTGTTCCCCTCGTATGACTATCTATTTATCACTGCAATATACATTTTTACATTCAAGTATGTTTTTCGCAGTATATTAGTTTCATACATTATTTTAGCACAGTACTTAGGCACGTATAACAAGTCTGTTTTTCGACTGCATTTAGCATGAAAATCGGGAATCGATGACTAATACACATGGTTAGAAGCAAAGCTTTTACAAATGTGCTACCTGCAAACCTGTTTAGAGAAAACTTATCGATAGTTAACAAACGATATGCAAATACATATTCTATTGATATTACGGAGCCCGTACATCGAGTAGAAAAATGTCAAAACAAGTTTCGGGCGTCTGCTCGTCTCGCCTGTCGACATTCGGATTTCGAAGCCAATGTGTACGGCCTGCATGACAATTGCCAGTCGTGTCTTAACATTGCCAAATGAAAAAAAACACACACATAGAATCGCGCGCCTCGTTCATTTGAACTTGACCTTATTTTGCAATTAATTCCAATTGTTGCAAATAATAAAACGAAACGGCAAATGTTTCATCGTCCCGAGTGACTCTCGACGTAGATATTTACATCGCTGATAGATTATCGGGCTAGTGCGGGGCGCAACATGGAGCACGGTGCATTTTCATTTCTCTTTCTCTTCGGTCTCGTATTCGCTGCTTATATACTCGCGTCGTTGTAACACACACTAATGGTCTAGCGTAGCGCAGCAGCAGGTGCTTATACATGCGAACGACAACGTCGCCAACATGAATCGATATCCCGCGATTGCGTTGGATTCTTTTTTTTTTCTTTTATTATTATTATCGAGCGCCATTCGATACGAGTTGTTGCGCATTTATAACGTGCAGCTGTGTTCGCTTGAACGGAAAATATGACGATTCTCTCGAGAAGTTTCTTCTGGCCTTACGAATGATGAGGTAAAAAAAAGGCCGCAGTTTTGACGGTAATTCCACCATTTCCAAGTCCGGGATGCCGAAAAAACCAGTTTTCACCAAATGATACGAAAAAGCAGACGTGCTTCTCGGCCGAGTCTCTGCGATCGAGCCTCAGCGTGCCTTGCCTTTGAAACGAATAAAAAAAAAATACCTCCTCGGCTCTGCAACAGAC